GAAAACAAAAAGCAGACTTTCCACCAGGGAAAATAAGAGAGTGAAAGAGAGTATTTACTTACTTACAAAAGCGATGAACAATGATGTTCTTTCAATGTTGTTCATAATATTTACAAATTCAAAATGATAGTCGTGAAAAAAAAAGCGAAATGAAACGACGGGTTTCGTGATGGAATAGAACAAATTTCCATTATCATTTTCGTGTTCGCTGGAAATTGAATAAAAGAAAAACCAAAATAAATATACAAATGTTTTGAATTCAATGGCGGTTTCAGACCACACAATTCGTAAAAGGACCACAGTATAGATATCGTGAAATTCGCGAAATGAGAATGATCCTTTTTTGGCAAATTAATTTTTTTTTGCTTCTTTCTGATTGCTCGTTTCGTTCTCTTTGCTTCACGAGAAATCACGATCCGGGAAAATCGCCGGTGCAGCCAACGTCCACGAATAGNGCAAAGCCATGATGAGACTATTTTCACCCAAACTGCAGCCATATTACTGTTCAAATGACGAAGATCGTTATCGGGTCTGGAAGTAGTTTTTAAGTTATACAATAATCCTTGCTCTAAATAGCATATGATAAGTCACAATCAACTTTATCAAGTTCACAATTTAGTGATCAAGTGATCTCCAAAGCCAAAAACATCTTTCATCTACGAAGGCAGACTCACAACCAGTATATTTTTACGTCCATGAGATGAGTAAAAACGAGCGATTGGAAAGCAGCGAAAAAAGTCTAACTGCGTTAATCTCAAACAAATTTGCAACATTTCATATATTTTGACTTGAATATCAAAATACAACAGAATGATACTGGAAATACTTTCCAGTACGTTTCCTTCGAATGAAAATACTCATTTGGAATGTTCTGAATAAAACAAAAACCCACTTGTACCAACTGGTCAGCGTCATCATAACGTAGAGAGATGCAAGACCGAAAACGAAGTGGAAGAATGAATAACTGTACGAGACAGCATCTTTTTCATCATCCCACACACGCGCAGATTCTGGGTCACCTTCTGTAAAAAGCAAACAAATTCCAATCTGCAGAAAGTGCACTCTCATCCTTAAGCACCATTTGTCAAAAGATGCAGACATGAGTGTGAAAAAGAATGCCAAAACATGCAAAATCTATTAAAACTGCCTTACACCTCACAATCAGCTCTTAAATGAACGCCAGCAATATCGTTCGTTGAAATTCAAACATGTAGAACACCTTAATAAACGCCACAAACACTCACAGATCTACGGGAAATTTCTGTCGTCGGAATGTCCGATGTAGAAGCACAAAATTTTCAGAAAGATCCAAAGTACTGATTTAATTTGATCTTCTTCAATACCTACTTACAAATGCAAATGCGGTAATGAAAGATTTGCGTAATCCTAAAACATATCAAAGGAACTGTATGCTATGGCCAAATCATCCTTGAATCTAAAAAACCGATGATCATCACTAAAATATTTTTAGCTCCCCAAAGCAGCCATACAAGAACAGGTCACAGGTCAAATGAAAACATGCAATGAACATGCATTGACAGTTTGAAGTGTTCACATGCAACGTGCAGTCAAGTGAGCGGTCCCGTTGCAGTTGATAGATCACAAATACTCCATCCAAAATAGAAATTTCCCTTCATCGTTTCTCACTCTAACTGACTGCGCTAGTAATCTCAACTAATAACAGATACAACAACAATCAATTTCTATGAACAGATGTTTCTCGAATACATAACTAAAAATTAACGCTGTTTTGAAATCATCTGCTAAATCTAGAATGACAAAATCTTTTCAAACAAAAAAATTTCTTCAAACAGATCAGAAAATCAATTTTGAATCTTTTTGGCTTTCATTGTTATTGTTTCGAATGTAGTGACTATGTGGATATATCAACTTCAGAACCGATAATTTGGTGTTGAGAACCATTATCTGATGAATCGATGGTGCTTGATTGACCTCCACCAGCGATTTTGTTGAAGCTCGATGAAGTGCGGAATGATGCGTAGAGCACGCAAATGAACCAGATCAGCAAAGACACCAACGACTCAGCCGGTAGCGGAGTGCCGTACATCTCCTGGAATGGGTCACCTTAGTTTACTTTAGTAATCCAGTGGAGGAGTGTAATTAGCATTTATTACGACTTCATTAACACATATACTTTGATTGACACGAAACAGATTGGAAGAGGCTAAAAACATCTGATCAGAATGATTTTAAAAAAAAGAAAGACTAACCTCGCCATGTGGTGTGGTGTGATTCGTGAATATGTTGATGATCGATGGATTGCATTCTTTGTCTGAACATCAAACATCCTTTATTAATTCAGCTATCATTTGCTACTTCAGAATCCATTTTAAAAGAATTCACCCACCGACTGAACAAACAAATATTTTTAAAAAATTTGCGTAAGAATATTTTGATAAATTTACCAGGATTATTGATGAGTGCCGACCAAGTGATGTACATCGTGTAGAGTGTGATGAATGAGGACTGAAGTAATCCGGAACGTGGCATTCTCTCTTGAATACTCGGTAGAATTGAGAGTACCGAAACGATCACGCACAAAATCAAATTGAACGAGATGAAGAATTTCGGCAAATGACATGGGGCACCCTAGAAAAATTAGTCCTTCATTTTCAGTTCACCTCTTCCACGAATACATCACAGAACGTCCGTGAACTCATGAAAAGAGGTTTACAAAATTTTTCGAACGTATCTAAACTATGAAGTTTAAATACGTTCTCTGTCTAAAATATCCGTACCGTTAAAGACAAGCGCAATATCTCAAATCAACACCACCTACTACCAAATACGATTTCTCAATGTTCAAACTTTAAAAACATTTAAATCGGTATTTCCACTTATGAATAAATTA